GCTTTCTGTGGCTGTTGCTTCTTGCAGTTGTTGTTGCAATGTGCACATGCGGCTGCTTGTGCTGCCTGCTGCTTGCTTTGCTCTTTGCTATCCTTGCTGATGTTGTTGCTGTTTGCGAATGTTGCTGCCATTGTTGTTGGCTGCTTACAGCTTGGGGAGGGGTCCTTGTGATAAATCAATTAATTCACTCCCCAAGCGGGTGCCTGGGCCTACTGCTAAAGCAGTAGATAGAAACGAAAGGCTCGCTACGCTAGCTTTCGTGACTTGGTTTTTGCTGACACGGCTTTCCTGGCTTCCTTACTAGACTCCTGCCTTTTCTTGTTCCGGATCGTTCCTAAATCAAAATCCTAAACCCTTTTTATCGTCCTGGTTCACTCAGGCAGAACCAAACCAGAGCAGCATGACAGCACAGCATGACAGGCGAAGAGACTCGGTCTTTTCTGGCGGCTATGTCAGGCCCAAGGTCCGGCAAAGCAAATGCAAGGCCTGCCCAACACCTGGCCACATGATCCGTGCCAATCTGTGCTCCTTCTCCAGATCTCTCGACACCCGCCTGGACCTTCCAAATCTGCTGTTGAAGCTACAGTAGGGGCAGTGTCATCAGAAGCACCTTGGGTTAAGGATACAGCTTGACCACCAAATTGCAGGCATTCACAAGGTCCCCACTCGAAGGATTTTCGGAAGCATCGGATGAGTCCTACATCCCGTACAACACTTCCATTCTACACAGGACACATACGCAGGATATTGAACAATGTGTTGCTGACTTCAGATCTCAAGGCCTCTTCTGAGCTTTGAGTGCTGGCTCTTGTTTGCGATGCACCTCAGAGAGTGGCAGCACGCAGATCAATAAACGGCCTGGCTTCCCGCGAGGCCCCGACTCTGTCGGCGCTTCGCGGCCTCCCTGACACTTTGTTCACGAACATTGGCATTAATCGCAAACGTCGTGCTTTTCAAGAAGCTGAAGGCAGCATCTCGCCTTAGTAGTTGCATTGCCTCGGCCAGCTCAGTCGAGGCGTCCTCCTGCACCGATAATTGACAACGAACCAAAATCGAGCGATGCTACCCAAAGCAATGCAGAGCACTCTCCTGGGCTGCCATGTGGGCGGCTGCTGTGCAAAGGTTGCGGAACACTTCAGGCCTGTCCTGTGCTCAGAGGCTCAGCACTAAGTTCCCATGAACAGAGCCAGCCAAACTCTCCTCCATTTCCACGAAGGCTGCAATGCGTGCAAGAAGGACAGCTGTCGCCTCCAGAGCGGAACGGTTCACTGGAGGAATCATACGATTTAAGACCCGCTTTGTAAAACAGAGCAGCCCTAGAACTGATCTCACTCACGAACGGGGGTCAAAATTCTTATCCGGTTTCTTTGACGGTAAGGAATTTGCTTACGGT